ATGTACAATATAAATCAACAAACAGACTTAACCTCGCACAAGGACTTTATAATTACACGTTTCAACCTCAACCTCAGACCAAAAAGCATCGTCAGCAGAACGGCTCCTGAAAACACTTTGTTTTCCCCTGCAACTGTGTAGATTCTCAAACTACACCCGGCAACACAAAATGATGCAATATATAATTTTTGTTTAAAGCTCAATTTCAGACAAAGAGCACTCGTCAGCAGAAAGTTGGAAGAACACGCTAAAATGTATGTATTTCTATATAACTGCGCAGATTCTCTGACAATGTTCTACAACCCACCATGATGCAACCCTCATTGTCTAGTTTTCCCACGGTCTTGCTGACATAAATGCTTGTTGTTTTTACAATACTTTTCATCTCATACCGTAAACCCGGACAATTCTTGACTCCCCCCCCCCCCCCCAGAAAAACCATTATCTCAAAATTTTGTGCAAGCGATAAACGCCCGAATCCTGCTTGCCGCCACAGATCCGCTTGAAGAGACCCGTCTCATTATAATTCCCTGAAAACCTCATTTTTGTCACGACGCGCTGGAATCAGGCGCTCGTCAATTTTTGGGCATGTGGAGTTATTGGTATCATCTGAAAGCAGATGTATTTGCCTTGCTTTCTATGAAATAAATATCCATCTATCTTGAATAGAACTAAAGATATTTGCGATTGAAGCAATAATGAAATTAGCGAAAAAATGGTCGCCAAAGTTTGGCAACTCCAACAGATGAAAAGTCCTCGAAAACAGAAAAAATGACATATTTTGTGCCTTTAATCAATGTTTTTCAGTAAAATTCACATGTAAATGTGTTTTTATATGGACATAACAGAGATTGAGCCAAAACAAAATAAAAATTTGATAAAAATTTCCAAACTGGCGGAAAAATGCCTGTTTCTCCGATTTCTGTATTTTGACGAGCGCCTGATTTCACCACACTGCCTCACATTTCTGTTTTCTGTGCGTTATCTTCTGGCACCATACCCATCTACAACAATAAGCCTTTAGCAAAAGTGCTAGCAAAAGTGAAAAGTGCTGTTTCAGTTGTTTTTTTGTTTGGTTTCTTTTTTAGTTGTTTTTGGTTTTCCGTTGTTGTTATTGTTGTTTGTAAAAGTGTCTTATCATTGTATGTCGGTGAGGCTAGCCTACCCTGTATAAAAATGGACGCCAAGTGAGCTGCTCTACCATACAGAGGCAGCGACTGGAGGGTAAGTAAGCTATAGTCTGTTCACTTATTAGAGGATACGTAAGCTATTGTCTGTTCACTTATTAGAGAATAAGTAGGCTATAGTTTGTTCACTTATTAGAGGATAAGTAAGCTATAATCTGTTCTCTTACTGTAGGATAAGTAAGCTATAGTTTGTTCACTTACTGTAGGATAAGTAAGCTATAGTTTGTTTACTTATTAGAGAATAAGTAAGCTATAGTTTGTTCACTTATTAGAGAATAAGTAAGCTATAGTTTGTTCACTTATCAGAGGATAAGTAAGCTATAGTTTGTTCACTTACTGGAGAGTAAGTAAGCTATAGTTTGTTCACTTACTGTAGAGTAAGTAAGCTATAGTCTGTTCACTTACTGTAGTGTAAGTAAGCGGATTTTCTTTACTTACTGTAGGGTCAGTAAGCTATAGTTTGTTCACTAATAAAAAGGTATTAGAGGATAAGTAAGCTATAGTTTGTTCACTTACTGTAGAGTAAGTAAGCGGATTTTCTTTACCACTATAACAACGTAGAGGACACTTTTGTCCCATCAGCAACAAGCCAAAGACATGTGACCACACATTTTGAACCATCACATACAGTGTTGTTTTTTAAAAGCAGAAATACAATAAAAGCATATTTCATCGTATTCATGTTGCTTCTTGTTGTTGTAAAATTTTGTAACATTTAGAACAGAATAGGAACATATTTTTGCCGATAACGAGGCTATGTTTCTTTGGGTTTTTTAGTCGCCGCAAACATGGCAACATCCGACTATGTCAAAAAACAGCTCATCTTCCGACTATGTCAATCCCCCCCCCCCCCATAAAAACCTCAGAACAAAACAAACAAAAAAACAACAACAAAAAAACAACTACAAAACAAACAAACGACAACATGAACCTACAAAATAAAGGCACGTCTTTTCTCAACTTTGTGCAAAAACAGCACGTCTTTCCACTTCCTTGTCCGTCTTGACTTTACAATTCGCCACTGTCTCTCTTCTATGAATTGCCAGTCTAGCGCGGCTAAACGTCGCGTCGCGTCGCGCATAAGGCGAAAGTTTTGTCGCTTTTGTCGCACGCGAATGAAAATTTTGATGCGATGTGGTCACGCATAAGACAGGGTGCCTATTGAGGGATCGGGTCGGGTCGGAGCGGTTTGCTAACCAGACTGAGGGCGCAGAGCGGCTATCGTGGTATAAGCCGATCGCGCCCGACTTGTTGCCTCAAAAACAAACGACCCGACCCGATCCAATCCGCAATGGGCACCCTGAATAATACAGGGCAGAGGGCACCCCGTATTAGGATACACAACAAACAAACTACCCGTTTGTTTTTTAGGCGACGAGCCGGGCGCGATCGGATTGTGCCACGATAGCCTTTTTGCGCCCTCAATCTGTTTAGTAAACCAATCCGACCCCATCCGACCCGATCCGACATGATCCCCCAATGTACACCCCGTATTAGACCGCCGAGACGCCTCCGCGTCTTTCAACTTTTGCGGCTCAAACAACGATCGCTAGAACTGTGTTTGAGTCTTGAGGCAGTTTTGGTGACTTAGGCGGGCTGTAAATTTATAACAAAGCTATGACACTACAGTTCCAATACCGTGAGGGTTGATGATAATATACTCTGTTACTTCTGGAAAGGGAATTGTAAGAAAAAACAAACTTACAGCTGAGACAGACTTCTTCCTCTGTGTCCTGTACACAATGATCAACACACTTTCTGTAGATGTCGCTGAGGTCAATTCACCTTTAAGTGAGAGGTGTAACTCTCATGAAATTTACGATGAATTTCACTATGTTTTCTACTGTCCAAATTTTATCCACCAAAAGATATTGTTAATTCCTCCCTGCCTGACTCGGCCCAGTGACAGAAATATGCAATGTTTGACCCATGATAAGAGATATGTGCACAACCTGTACTTATTAATTATGGGAACTTTATTTGACAAATGAGTGTTTTATATGATGGGATGTGGGCCAATGTCCTTAAACACTGTATAAACTAACATACTTACTTACTTACCTACTAACCTACTAACCTACTTACTTACTTACTTACCTACTTACTTACTTACTTACTTACTTACTTACTTACTTATTTACTTACTTACTTACTTACTTACTTACTTATTTACTTACTTACTTACTTACTTACTAACTGCTGAGAAATGACTGAGTGCTCCCTACACTCTAAGAGGGGGGGGGGGGGGGGTTACACCCCGAACCCCCCCTCGCCCCCAAAAATTTTCTTCTTCTTCTTCTTCTTCTTCTTCTTCTTCTTCTTCTTCTTTTTTGTTTTTGTTTTTTTGTTGTTGTTTTTGGGGGGGGGGGGTGGAAAGTGTTGTCCGGCGCTCGGAACTGCATAAGGTCATATAAGCGTGCGGGACACCTTAAACATTTCCAGTTGGTACGAAATTATTAATTTTGTCCGGGTGGTGGCCGAAGCCTACTGTAATCGATTCTGGACCACTAAATGATCTTAAAAGTGTGCAACTTGTACACGAGACCTCCGAAATTTTTCGCCCACAAGGTTCATTACCAGAAAGACATCAGTAATAAGGAGCCAAGGAGTAGCAGTAGAAAGACTGCATTAAAAGTTAAGAGTCCAGAGGAGGGGGCAAAGGCGGTGACGGGGTGGGGGCAGAAAGTGGACACGAAAGCAGACGATATAACATTTGCTAGAGAGCACGAAAAGAGGTGAAAGGAGACAATTTTAGAGAAGACAATTTTCCGTCGCTATCCGGATTCGAACCCGGGACCTATTTGATGAGAGGCGAACACCGTTACCTCTGGACCACGAGTGGAAGGCCAGGGATTTCTCAGACGGTTGAGGACCGCGACGGAGGGAGGGGGCTGCGGGGAGCGGCCGGCTGAGAAGTTTTCCAGAGACAGCAGTTATTTTGCAATGCAGCCTAGAGAAGGGGGAAGATGATGACATGAAGAAGTTCTTAGACGTTGGTGTGCGGACACGGCCAGCGACCAGGAGTTGGTGAGTTTTGAGGCTGAGGGCGGGCTGGCCGCGAGAGCGAGTCGGAACCCGAGAGGGAAGCGGACGGCGGGAAGCAGCCAGAGCAGTTGTCCAGCGACGAGGAGACGGTGAATTTTGAGCGGGACTTGGGGGAGTGGGGAGACAGGGAGGAGGGAGGAGGATAGTGGGGGTTTCAAACTAGAACGAGTAGTTCAATCCACGCCGAGCGTATTTTTGGCCCCTTGTTTGGGATCGGCAAAGTTCTCTAACTGGCGACGTTACAGCATCAAGCTAGTTCTAATCACACACAGAAAAGCTACTGATAATTTTAAAAAATAATGCAACCAGGCCCGTTTGGCTCTATGATGAAAACAAGTCACAGCCTTTAAACTGGAATCTTTTTTCCATTTCTAGCGGGGAAAATGTGTCAGAGATGGCTCCAACAATCAAATATTCATCTTCTACTTCCATAATACGAAAAATGTGAATACAAGGAGGCTGCATGGTTGTCCATTGTTGACGAAGAACGTGAACTGTGAATGGTTAAAGACTGGATCCGACTCCATTGTACTTTAAAGATTTGAAGTTTGTGATTAAGATCCAGGGCTTTGATCTCATACTTTTTACCGTCTCAGTACCCCGAGGAGATAAATTGCTGTTTATGGGGGCG